GGGGACAGGGGACAGGGGACAGCCAGGCCCGGGGTGCTGGGGCCGCTGGGGGATGCCCGGACTGTCCGATGCCAGACTCGGGCGCTGGACGGACAGTGGGCGGCGGATGGTCAGAGGGAGACAGTGGCCGTCTGCTGCCCTCTTCAGGAATCCCTCCCGTCCCGGGGAGCCCGGCAGCCGCGGGTCTGGGAATGTCCCGGGGGATGGTGGGTCGGGGGGAGCTCCCAGGTTCCACTGCAGACAGAACCACCCAGATTCTCACCTGGGTCAGGTGGTACTTGTCCCGCAGGTGCATCCGCACAGTGGCCCGCTCCGCCTTCCTCTGCGCAAACGCCTTGTCCCGCTCGATCCTGCAGCCGGAGCCACGCTGTCACCCTCACCCCACTGAGCCCTGCCAGAGCCTTCCAGCATGGCTGTGGTCTTCTGGTAGCGGCAGGTGCCACACCATCACCCCCAGCCCACTGAGCCACCCCACCAGGGCTACCCCGACATCACCCCAGTCCTCCTGCAGCAGCAGGTCCAGGGCAGGAGGGAGGAAACGGTCTGAGATACACAGGAGGGTTGCAATGGGGACCTGGGGGCAGGGGCCACATCCTGCCCATCCAGCCCCAGCACCCAGCAGAGATGTTTGGTGAAGGTGCCCATTACTCCTCCTGCAGCGTCTCAGCTCCCTGGTGCTGAGGCACTGGATCCCCACAGCACTTGGTCCAGGGAAGTGGGACCTTAATCCGGTCTCATGCTGCCCCCCACATCCCTTGGCTCCAGGGTGCTGGGCTGACACCAGACACCCACCCAGGGCCACTGACACCTGGGGGCTCCCCTTGTCACCTATAGTGCACAAGCCCCCTGCCAGCACCCACAGGGACCTCCCGTGCTGTGGGAGAGAGGCACCAAAGGGCACTTGCTCTGCCCCGTCCCTTGCCCTGGCAGCTTCCCTGTACCTGTCGTGTGCCACCCTGGGGACAACCCATGGCGGGTGGGATCCTGGTCTTGGTGCATGGGGGACCCCAGTGACCTCCCCAGCCTTACTTCTCCTCCAGCAGCTGCCGCTGGTACTCCTCAAACTCCTCGTGGGCCATCCCGTTGGGCAGCGCGGCCGCCTTGTCCTCCCTCGGGGGCCCCTTGGGCAGCTCCTCCTTGCCCCCCTGGAAGCTCTTCAGGGCAGCCGTGAAGAAGGAGGCCATGGGTGGGCGGCGGTGGCAGCTTGTGCCCCTCGGTGCCCACCGGGTTCCTGCACCTGCAAGGTCAGCGGGACCGGCCCCAGGGGCACCGCGGATCAGGGGCGGATTAAGGCATTAGGAGGGGAAGCCACAGCCATCGGGGTGGACAGACCTTCCCGTGCTGCCCGCTGCACCCAGGGGTTCTCGTGGAAGACAGTGGCAGTGTGTGGGGACAGCAGGTGTTGCCTCATCAGGGCGATGGGGAGGTGGAAAGAGCCGCTGAGCCCCAGCACACCCCGGGTCTGGGGGGGTCCCAGTGGGGGCAGTACCCACAGGGCCAAGTCATGGGAGGAACCTCAGGCCGTGGGCACCCAGAGCCACCCACACAGTGGGGTTGGAGGTGCAAGAAATCA